CTCGTTGCTCTTCTCTGCATGTCCAGCCCCTCCATGGCCTTCCTGAGCTGAGGGCCCAGAGCTGGACACAGCACTCCAGGTGAGGCCTCACAGGGGCAGAATCCCTTCCCTGCTCCTGCTGCCACACTGATCCTGATCCAGGCCAGGATCCATCGGCCTTCTTGCCCACCTGGGCACACTCTGGCTCCTGTTCAGCCTCCTGTCAATCCAAACTCCCAGGTCCCTTCCTGCCTGGCTGTCCCCTGAGGAAATCCCAGCCCGTCCTCACGTGTTGTGGGAGGAGGAGATCCAGTACTGGGACAGGGGGTGGTTCATCTCCTCGGGCACCACGCGCTCGTACTTGGCGTCCATCACCATGTTTTCCTTGGAGAAGAGGTACGTGAGGAACTGGGAAAGCAGGGGGTGGAAAGCAGAGAGGTCAGAGCCTGGCAGGGCCGCGGAGACACCCCTGGGTGGGTTCTGGGTGGGGGGCACCCACCTCATCCAGCTGGAAGGAGGGATCCGACGCCTCGCCGGAGCTCTCCCGGAGGTAGGTGCACATGTATTCCCGCACCATGCCCACGTCGCTGGCCCAGGATTCCTGGGAGACAAACGTGGATGTCGTTATGGGGCCGGAGCATCCTATGGGAGGCCCCAAACCCACGAGGGTCTGGAAGAAATCCCACCTTCTGGTCGTGCAGCAGGAACTTCTGGAAGTCGTAGAGGGAGACCTGGCACAGCTCGGGGCGGTCCACGTTCCTGGGACACGGATCAGCCACCAGTGAGGAGCGGGAGAAGGAGTTGGGATAGATCCCATGGGAGAGGCAAGGCTGCCGGGGCCCACCTGCAGCTCTCAGCTCCCCTATTCCTGCCCCATTCCCACCAGGAGTGTGCAGCGCTGTCCAAGGATATGGGGAGGGCAGGGAGGAATGTCCCTACATCCCTGGCAGCCTCATCCACTTCCATGGCTGTCCATCCCTGTTCCTATCCCTGCTCCATCTTCACTCCCCTCATTCCCACTCCCACCTCGACTCCTCTGTCTGTTCTTCCCTCCTCTCATCCGGGCTCTCAGCCTCACTTCCATCCCTGCTCCCACACCCCTCATATTCCTGTTCCCATCTCCACTTCCACCTCTGCTCATCCCTTCTCCCATCCCTGCTCCCACCCCTGCTCTCATCCCCTCTCCCATCCCTGCTTGGATCCTCACTCCCATTCCTGCTCTCAACCCCTCTCCTATCTCTGATCCCACTCCCCTCCCATTCCCACTCCAATCTCCACTCCAACCCCACTCCCATCTCTTCTCATCCCTGCTCCCATCCCCGCTCCCATTCCCACTCCCATCCTCATTCCCATTCCTGCTCATCTGCTCTATCCCTGCTCCCATCCTCGCTCCCATCCCAGCTCCCATCCCTGCTA